AAGGCGTCCATAACATTACTCCCCTCCTGGACTACGAGCTTGTCCTCAAGCTCGAAAGCTGGATATGTGGCTTGGAACACTGCCAATGAATCCATGTGGCTTCTATAGGTGGTAGATCACACCATTCCACCAAGACTTCAAGGATTCCACGATTGAAACGAGAGCGGGTGACAGTTTAAGGCTGGGGGACCAGTTTGCCATCTTTGATGGGCGACAGGGAGGGAACTTGGTCCGGGGGAACACCCGTAAATGGATTCAGCAAGGAGATGTGGAAGACATCATGAATTCGGCTAGTCTCTGGCAATTCCAGCTGGTAGGCCACACTGCCAATCCGTCGCAGAACCTTGTAGGCCCATAGAACTTAGGGGCCAGCTTCAGGGCAGCCTTGTGGCGCAAGGAGCGCTACCAGTAGGGCTGGAGCTTCAACCAAACAAATTGTCCTGGATCGAACGACAGTTCCCGGTGGTGCTTATCATAGTGGAGCTTCATGCGGAGTTGGGCCTGCTGTAAGGAGTGATCGATTGCGTCCAAGCGAGTAGATCCGGGCTCGTAGGACAGCAAGCGGGGAGGATCCCTGCTGTAAACGACGCGAAAGGGAGTCATGCCGAGGGAGGAATAGTAGGTTGTATTGTAGCAGTACTCGGCCCAAGGAAGCCATTCCAACCACCATCGAGGTTGATCGCCTACGAAATAGCGGAGATACATCTCGATAGTGCGGTTAACCACTTCCGTCTGACCGTCGGTTTGTAGTCGGTAAGCGGATGAGTAGGTCAGGGTGGTGCCGTGTAGTCGAAATAACTCTTTCCAGAAGGCACTAGTGAAGACCGGGTCTCTATCGCTAACGATGGATTCCGGCAACCCATGTAAGCGAAAGATATGTGTAAAGAAGGCGAGGGCAACCGAAGTGGCACTGTACGGGTGTGATAGAGGAATGAAGTGTGCGTATTTAGAGAAGCGGTCGACTACCACAAAGAGAACTGATTTGCTCCCTACCTTGGGAAGTCCCTCAATGAAGTCCATGGAGATGTCGGGGCTGAAGGAGGCCTGCCAGGTGTAGGTTTTCCCATTTGTGTTGTTGGCATGTGGAGCAATTCTGGACAAAATCTCGAATAGAAGTCTTCATACCTCGCCAATGGAAATCAATCCAGACACGGTGTAGTGTTTTTTTGAATGCCCTCATGGGTGGAGTTATGGATGTTGGTGATGATGGTGGGAATCAACGGGCAGTCTGTTGGAAGATGGACTCGTCCCTTATACAGTACCAACCCGTCGTGAAGTGACCAATCGGGGTCAGCCGTGCCGGTCTGGATCTTCTGCAGTAAGAGCGACCATTCCGGGGACTGTGGTGCCGCCTTCTTAATGTCGTAAAACAGAGAGATCCGAGGTTGGGAAATGCTACATAGAACCATCGCGTCTTCTTCTCGCCTAGACAAGGCATCAGCTGTGCGATTAGAGGATCCCGCCTTATATTCCACCCGGAAGTCAAACCCGAGTAGTTTGCTAACCCAATGCTACTGAGGGGAAGTGGTGAGACGCTGCTCTAATAGGTATTTGAGGCTGTAATGATCAGTTTTGACGATGAACGACCGTCCCCACAAATACGGCCTCCAGTGCTGGATGGCTCGGGCAAGGCCGATTAGTTCGCGCTCATAGACTGGAAGCTTCAAATGCCGGTCGGCCAATCTGCGGCAGAAGAAAGCGATCGGGTGCCCTTGCTGCTGTAGTACGGCCTCGATACCCACTCCAAAGCATCGCACTCGACTGTAAATTCGAGGGCGAAATTAGGTAATTGCAAGACAGGGGTTGAAGACGGTGCATTTCGCAGTGACAGAAAAGCGTCATCAGCTGTGTCGTCCCACCGGAAGGAGTTTCTCTTCATCAGGTTGGTTAACGAGGCTGCCAACACTCCATAGTTCTATACAAATTTGCGGTAGTAACCCGTTAAACCGAGGAACCCACGTAAGGCCTTGGCGGATTGAGGTTTGGGCCATTCTGTTATAGCCTGGATCTTGGAACTATCAACTATTACACCCTGCCCATGGATGATGTGGCCGAGGTAAAGAACCTGTCGTTCCCCGAAGGAGCACTTGGACCGTTTCAGGAATAAGCTGTGTTGCTGTAGGAGTACGAAAACGGTCCTCAGATGGTGGACATGCTCTACCCATGATTTGCTGTAAACGAGGATATCATCAAAGAAAACTAAGACAAATTTGCGCAGAAGGGGCTGGAATACCTCGTTCATTAGTGCCTGAAATGTAGATGGTGCATTGGAAGAGTCCGAATGGCATGACTAAAAATTCGAAGTGGCCATGGTRGGTGCGAAAAGCAGTCTTCTTCACGTCATCGAGAGCCATGCGAACTTGGAAATATCCGGACCTGAGGTCCAACTTAGAGAAATACTGGGCACCATGCAACTCGTCCAGCATTTCGTCCACAATGGGAATAGGGAACTTATCTTTGATCGTCCGGTCATTGAGTTCTCTATAGTCAACACAGAACCTCCACGTTCCATCCTGCTTCGCCACCAACAAAACCGGCGAAGAGAAGGGGGAGTGACTTTTGCGTATGATCCCTTGGTTCAACATCGCTGTACATTGTTTTTCTATCTCATCCTTCTGTAAGTGAGGGTAGCGATAAGGCCTGACAACAACTGGTGCTGAACCCGCCACCAAAGGAATACAATGGTCGCAACCTCGGGAAGGGGGAAGGCCCTTCGGTTCCTGGAACAGATCTGAAAACTCGGCAAGAAGTTTTTCCATGGCTTCCGGTTCTGTCTGGAGTGCATGAACCTGCGGTGTCTTTTCTTTAACCCTGCAACCGTGCCATGAAACTTGCTTGCCATTCAGGTGGAAGGTCATGGTGAGTGCGCTGAAGTCCCACAAAATCGGGCCTAGGGTAATCAACCATTTGACCCCAAGAACAATATC